CGGCGGCGGCTGTAATAAGAGGGAGCGAGAGGGGGCGCCTCTGGCCGCCGGGCCGGAAAAGTGCAGGCAGCCGGACCTGATTGGATTCAGGGCGCCCTGAACAAACAGGCCCGCCCGGCCCGCGGGGGCGCCCTGAGCCAGCGCCAGGCCCACGACCGCCCGCCGCGGGGAGCCCCAGGGAGGGGAGGCCGCCGAGGCCCGCGAGGGAGGGAGGGAGGGAGGGAGGGAGGGAGGGAGGACTGGAGGCTCAGGCAGCCCCGCCAAGCAGGGGTCGTCGCCTCCTGGGCTGCCCCTTTCTGTTCGGGGAGCCCCCAGACAGTTGAGGGTCTCCTCGGAGGGCCGGCCGGCCCCTTCGCTCGGGCATTCTCCCACGGGGCGACTCCTTCGAAATCCAGCCGCTCCCGGTCTTGGGCCGCTGAACTCGCGAAGCGCTCCTCCCGACGCGGAAAACAGACCCACCGACCCACCGACCGACCAAGGTTCCATTCCGGCGAACGAAGCTCGCGCGTGTCACAAAGGTTCGTTTCCGCGGAAGAGGGCGAGCGAGGAGAGGCGAGGAGAGGCGAGGGCCATCCCCATCCCCATCCCCTCCTCTGCGGGGGGTGTTCGGTTCTTGTTCGCGCCGCAGGCCAGCGGGACGGCCCCAGTGCGGGAGTCTCCCGGGCCCTCCCGGGGTGGCGGTGGGGGAGAGGCCGGCTCGAGCCCCCCCCCCCCCCCCCCCCCCCCCCGCCCCGCCCCCCCCCCCCCCCTTCTTCTCTGCCTCCCTCTCCGCCTGCCGCCGCCGCCGCCGGCCTCTCGCCTCTTATCTTAACTGCGCACACAAAGGGAGATAGGAGACTTAGCGGGAAAGGGCTGGAAATCACACGAGCGGCGGCGCCCCCCCCCCCCCGGGAAGGGTGGTCAACCAGATATCCGTCGTCGTCATCACCCGTTCGTGCCGAAACAGAGCCACCCTCCCTCCCTCCCGGGGGCTGAAGGAAGCGCGTCCCGCTCGCGGGGTCCAGCAGCAATCCCCCGGGAGGGAGGGAGGGCCGGCCGGAGACAATCGGCCGGGATGGGGGACCGTCGAGGGTTGTCCAGACCAGGTAGGTTCAGGGGCTTGTGGGGCGAGTCTTTTGTTCGGTGGATTTCGTGGCACGAATTTAAGTTGTGTGCGGCTCATATATGCCTCTTAGGTACCGCAACCTGTTAGCAGCCAACGTGGGTTTGTGTGCAGACGGCGGAAACGCACAGCTCCTTTTAACGCAGTCGCCCAGAAAAGGGCCCACCGATTCCCGCGAAGCCCTTTCCCGACTGCAGCCAGAAAGGAAGAGTTTCCCTGCGGGAGGTAGAATCGATAACGATGGTATCTACAAATGAAATGTTTCGAAGCTATATTTACTTTTGATTCGAATTGAAAGCCTACTTGGGAGACCCCGTGGTTTCAAGAACGCGACCTGATCCTCGTTTTGTTTGTTTGTCAGGCTGTTTTCACACAACTAAGACGACCCGCAGGCTCCTGCCAGTGTCCGTGAGGAGCCGCGTCTCGGGCAGCGTCTTAGCGGGCTGTCCTAGTTTACCTTCACGCCGGAGGGGACCCGAAAAACCCGCCCACTCGGGGCTTTGCCTTTCTGCGGTCGCCTGTCCGGATCCTGTAATGTCGCCAAGCCTGGGGGTGGCGGCGCAACTGCGGAGTTGCCGGTGCTGGATGAAACGCACGGGAGCCCTGGTCGAGGGGGGTCTTCCCGAGCCTTGGCTTTCCCCTGGCGAGTCTCTTTGCCCTCAGGAGGGGAGCGATCTGCAAGTCGTGGTGGGCCTCCTGAGATACCCCTCTCGACTGCGTTGTCGAGCCCTCCGTTGACTTCGTAGGCCGGCTACACGTTTGTTTTGATTTTGTCCCGTCGGGTTAGACCAGGGACTTCTGCTGGTGGCCTTCGGGGGGACATTCTTTCCCCTCTCGGGTTGGGGCTGACAATCGTCCGAGGGGAACCCGGAGAAATAGAAATGCTGCGATTCAGAATAGCCCTCCCCCCTCGACGGCTTCTCCTCGGAGGATTTCGAGGGGCCAGGGGCGACGCCAGCAGAACAGGGCCTCGGCTTGGACAGCGGGGAGAGGGGCGCTACTGATGTGGGATCCTCGTGTTCAGGGTCGGGGCAGTAAATGAAGAAGAGGAGTTGGTTTTTTAATACCCTGCTTTTCTCTACCGGAAGTAATCTCGGAGCGGCTTACAATCGCCTCCCCTTCCTCTCCCCACAACTGGCACCTTTCGAGGCAGGCGGGGCTGAGAGAGCTCTGAGAGAACTGTGACTGGCCCAAGGTCATCCAGCAGGCTCCGTGTGAAGGAGGAGTGGGGAATCAAACCCGGTCCTCCAGATTCCAGTCCACCACTCTTAAGCACCACACCAGCCTGAAGGGGCCCCACTGATCGCCTGTCTCCAAAGTGCTCCAAGGAAGGAAAGCGGTGGGAAGGATATTGGTCGTCGGGGCTGAGCGGACAAGTTTCGGAGCCTCGCAGAGCGCTCCCTCTCCGTGTCTGCCGGGTGAAGGGCGCCATGTAAGCCTCGACCGGCCCACGACTCCCCAAGGAGAAGAGAGAGGCTTGCTCTCAGGTCGACTGACCGAAAGGATCGTGGTTGGGCGCTCCGGAGAGTGGCGGGCCAGCGGCCACGTGCCGGCCTTCAGCCGAGCCGGGCGGAGAGCTCAGGCGAGAAGCCACCGGCCGCCCTGGTCCTTGGGCGGGATCTGCCTCTCAGGCAGCCAGTTGCCCAGCCTCCGGGAGAGAGGCGCCTTGCTTTCCGCCCGCCCGCCCTCGCTCCCGGGCCATCCGCAGCCGCCCCGAAGTTCGGCAGAGGCGTCGAAGGGCAGCACCGGGCTGCGAGGAGGGTCGGGGGTCGGCGAGGCCTTTGGGTGGCCGGCCTCCTGAGCGGCTTCCTGCGTTCAGACAGAGGCCCCTCCGTGTCCGTCCGGAGGAGGACGCAGGTTCGACGAACACGTAGGCTGCGATATAAGGGGGGGGGGCGGTCGTCGTCTCAAGACCCCTCCTGGAGAGGAGGAAGGCCCAATGAGCCGTGCGCGCCCCGCGTCTCTTTTGGGGTACCCCGCCTGGCCCGTCTTCCCCCCACTGGCGCCATTCCAGCTGCCCCCCACCAAGACGCCGGTCGGGACTCGCGGGAACCCAGCCAGCCCCTGGGGGCATCATCCCCATCGGCGCCACCCGCCGTGTTCCCTCTCAGCTGAGTGTGACCTTGCTCACCGATTTTTGTAAAGCCTCCGGCTCACACGTTCTTGTCTCAGTTCAGGAAGGAGGGCTCCAGAGCCGACTCATTGGAACAGCAGCCAAATCGCTCGCTCACAATGTTAACGCGGGTAGCTCACAGAGCAGAATCTTTGCTCACAAGACTCCACAGCTTAGAGGGAGCACCCCTCTTTCTCTTGTGGGCTGATGTGTTTGTTTGAAGTCAGCGGGGTTTGGGGAACGGCCGCTTTCCTCGGTCCGGGGGGGGGGGAGGCGCTCTTCTGAGCCGAAGCGCGCCCTGGTGGCTCGGCCG